GTATATGTCCCTAAAAAAAAAAGAAATTATATTTCTCTGTAAAAGTGAAAATTTAGTGATTGTCACATATAATTATTAATTATATTTTCTCTTTTAAAAATTATATAAATGCATTGTCTATATTTTAGTAAAAGTAAACTGTTTTATTGAAAAGAATTCATCCTTAAATTTATTATATTTGACTTTATCATCATTGGTTTATTAGTTTATTCCTCTTTTCTGTCAATAGAGGGTTATAGTTTTTTTATGTACATTATATCTTGATAATATACATGGATTCTTTTTATTAAAAGAAAGCATATTTAAATTCTATAGAGCTTTACAATTTTCAAGAGTTTTACATGCATGATTTCATATAATCCCATAATAACCCTTTTTTCCCCCTATGTCCCTCTATTCCCTCTCTCCCACTGGTAACCACTAGTTTGTTCTCTTTATCTGTGAGTCTGATTCTTTTTTGTTATAGTCATTAGTTTGTTGTATTTTTTAGATTCCACATATAAGTGACATCATACAGTACTTTTTTCTCTGTCTGACTTCTTTCACTAAGTTATAATGCCCTCCAAGTCCATCCATGTTGCTGAAAATTGCAAAATTTCATCTTTTTATGGCTGAGTAGTATTCCATTATACATATATACACCACATCTTCTTTATTCATTCATCTGTTGATGGACACTTAAGTTGCTTCCATATCTTGGCAATTGCAAATAATGCTGCTATGAACATTGAAGTGCATATATCTTTTCGAATTAGTGTTTTTATTTTCTTTGAGTATATAAACAGGAGTGGAATTGCTGGGTCATACAATAGTTCTAATTTTAATATTTTGAGAAACCACCATACTGTTTTCCACAGTGGGTACATCAATTCACATTCCCACCAACAGTGTATGAGGGTTCCCTTTTCTCCACATCCTCGCCAGCATTTTATACCTGGATTCTTTAAAATATAGACTAAATAGCTGTTTTCAAGTGGAAGTAAAATAGTGAGACTCAAAATTCAAGCACTTGATGGGATAGAAAAAAAGAAATAAAACTTTCTTAGTTCCATATAGAAATACATAAAATTGAAGACATACTTTGAGGAAACAAAAGTCAATTAGAATTTATTTAAGAATGCTGCAAACCTGGGGGAAGAGCCAGCCCATGCTCACTCCAGGTTCAGCTCTCCCTCCAAAGCCCATGGGCACACAAGACTGTGCAGGGATGTACCCACACAGGTCATGCCTTCAAGACTGGGATAGGTAACAGTTTCACATAATCTCATAGAGACAGAGAGAGTTAAACAAAATGAGAAGACAGAAGAATATCTGTTAAATGAAAGAACAGAAGACAACACCTGAAAAAACGTATGTGATGAAATTAGGGCTGAAACTTCCCTGAACCTGAAGAAGGAAATAGATATCCAGGTACAGGAAGCACAGAGTTGAAACACTGTAAGATTTCACTCATATATGGATTCTAAAAAACAAAACAAAGCAAACAAAGAAAACAAAACAAAAATAAACTCAGATGTAGAGAACAAATTAGTGGTTACAGAGGGGAATGGTGTTGGGCATGGGCAAAATAGGCTAAGGGGTGGACTGTATAGTGATGAATGGCAACTAGACTTGTGATGGGAATCACTTTCTGGTGTATGCGATGTTGAATTATGATGTTGTACACCTGAAAATTACATAATTTTAAAAAACCAATCAATGAAAATCCTGTCTTGCCCCTTATCAGTTTTCCCTTTGTGAATTATTTCACTAATATTTCAATCATTCTGGAGCCTAGTTTACAGAGGCACTGAGAATAAGCACCAATCTATTGTTTCTCTATTACAAAGAAGTTTCATTACAGCAAATTTTTGCCTGTAATTTTACACTGTTATATCTGAAGCAATGAGAAAAGTAACTGACATATAGTGGGCACTCAACAAATATTTATTGATTGACTAAATGAATGAAACAGTGTGTACTAATTTCTTCTTGACATGTTTTTTTATTGTTTAAACCAAATGAAGAACTTCAACGTAGTCAAATGTTAGGTCAGGTAAAAAGTCTATATTATGCTAGGCTATTGTGGGAGGAATATTTGAAGACAAGAGCCTTCTTGTTCCTTAAAAATCATATTGTAGGGGATATAGCTCAAGTGGTAGAGTGCATGCTTAGTATGCACAAGGTCCTGGATTCAATCCCTAGGACCTCCTCTGAAAATAAATCAATAAATAAACCTAAAACCCTCCTCCCCAAAAAAATTTTTTAAAAAATCATATTGGAAAGTGACTGTCTCTTCTTTCTCTGTGTAGAACTAAAATTACTTTTCTTTAATTACAGCAGGAATTTCAAGAAATAATATCCTGAGAAAAGAAAAATATAAATTAAAAATTTTTGTATCTTGACACCAAAAATAATTGTCTTAAATTTTTCATGTTATCCAAGGAAATTTGCCATAAAAGTATTGAGGTAGATTGCGTTTTCTAGGATTCTTTTAGTCCTGAGTTCATTTTCCACAACAAGGAAAATGCCAAAATTTATCATTTAATTTTACTGTGGCAAGAAGAGAGTTAGAAATTAGTATATCCACTAGGGAGTTGCTATAGTGTTTCTTGCCAAGAGATTTCCACTGAGGTTTATTATCTGTATGGAGAAAATGTCCTACAGCTTTATATAAAGAGTAAGAACCCTTCCTTAACAATTATTTTAGAGTAAAATAGGTTTCCACATCTAAACATATTTGTGATCCTTCATGCCAAATAATATTAAGAACCTATGATAAGAAGTAAAGGCACTGAACAAGAGAGAATATTCAATCCTTATTCCCAATTAATATTTAATTCCAGTGGAATGTCAATTTTTGCAAGAAACGGAAGTACTACCATTGAATAACAACACTGGTTTAAAGTAGGTGTTGTATGTGAGTAGAAGTGATCTGTTTGTCTTGATTGATTTTACCGTTTTGTACAACTTCATGCAAGTTGTGATTTCTTTATGCAGAGTTGCATACTTAAAAATATGTAAATAAATTGGCACCTTTAATAATAGTAAAACATCATTATATTTTAAAGCATTGAAAAATGTTTCTATTTTGGAAAAATAATCTAGAAATACTGTTTGCATTAATGGGCATTTTTGTTAATTTAAGTATATGTATATTGACGTAAAACTCTTAAAATCATTAACATCAGATTCAAGCCAAGTAATGTGAGTAATTTTGGGAAATGAAAGGGAAGAAAATGCAATCCTTATGAGACTTCTTTTAGTGGAGATAAGTACCATGTTAATATTTGGATACAACCTAAAGAAAAATTAATTGGCAGGTATAGACTTATAATCAACCTGGACACTGTATTTCATGAAGATAACTGATCTAGCATTAAATCTTACACTTAACGAAGGTGTAGCCACACATATTGAACTGATTAATCCTCATAGCACAGCAAGATAGATAAGGGAGGTTCTAAATATTTAAGCAATGCATAAAAGAGACATGCTAACTACTGGCATCGGACTGGGTCCAAGTTTTCTAATTTCATACCCTGTTTTATTTTCTACTACACTAGTGTTTTTCAAACATTTTACCATTGCATATAGCAAGTTTTACATGATAAGCCTGGTCACACATATACATATATACTCACACTTGTATTGGAAACAAATATAATAAATCAACAAAATAGTATATAACTGTTAAACGTATGATAGATTACAATTCGCAGTATGAAAAGCACTAATATATATTATACTGTATTTTCAAGCACTAATCCCTTTAATAATCTTATATAACCAACCTGTGCAATCAATTATTGTTTGCCTTATTTTTCAAGTACTGAACATGTTGCACAGAATCATTCTTTCAGTTGCACGTGTCCTTTCATGAAAAAAGTTTTTTATTGGCAAAAGTCATTTTAGAATTTGAGGCGTAGGACTAAGGAAAAGCACTGTGTCTTGCTGTTTCTGTGTAAATCAGACCAGTCCAGCTGGAGCTCAGTGAGTTCTGTACTTACCTAAATCAACTCATATATTCGACCAGAGAATCATGAGGACCAGCAGACTAAGGATGAAAGAAATGAATACATGCGGTAAGCCAGCATGGATGGTTCTTGGGAACAATCCTTGCATTTTATTATTTTCTCTAATGTAAAATCAGTTGTAACTCTCCCTTTATCTAATCATTATTTCTATAAAAATTTGCTGTATTGCATTTCCTAGGTAAAATATAGAGATTCATTAGTCTTTCTTTTAGTTGTACTACAGAATACTAATTTGGGGCATTTTTACTCATATTTTTTCATCTTACAAGCATCAAATCATGTCACTGGAGTTACATCGCAGAGAAAATCCCTTCATAACTTTACTTAACTGAATAAAATGACCATGAAGAGTATTTAATACTGAAATGCAAGTCTTCACTTTGACTTAAATCCACCGACAAGAGCAACGACAGTCATGAATTCAGGCAATGAAAGTACCCCAGAGGTTTTCATTCTTCTGGGTTTCTCTGACCATCCCTGGTTGGAAATGCCACTCTTCATAATAGTGTTTGCTGCTTACATCTTCACACTAGTGGGAAACATCTCAATTATTGTGGTATCCAGGGTAGATCCTCATCTTGACAGCCCTATGTACTTCTTCCTTTCCAACCTCTCCTTCCTGGACCTTTGTTTTACAACAACCACAATCCCTCAACTGCTGCTGAACCTCTGGGGCCCAGATAAATCTATCAGCTATGGAGGCTGTGTGACCCAGTTTTATATGTTTCACTTCCTGGGAGCCACTGAATGCATCCTCTTAGCTGTAATGTCCTTGGATCGTTTCATGGCCATCTGCAAGCCTTTGAGGTACCCAGTTATCATGCATCAGCGACTCTGTATCTTCCTTGTGCTCATGGCATGGCTAAGTGGTTTGGCTAACTCCTTGCTTCAGTCATCCCTCACCATCCAGCTGCCACTTTGTGGCAACAACAAGGTAGATGATTTCCTGTGTGAGGTCCCAGTGATGATCAAGATGTCATGTGCCGACACTACATTCAATGTAGCTATGCTCTCCATCGTGGGGACATTCTATTCCTTGCTTCCTTTGTCACTTATCCTTGTCTCCTATGGGTTCATTGTAGCTACAGTGCTCAGAATTCGGTCCTCAGAGGGAAAGAAGAAGGCCTTTAACACATGTAGTTCTCATATCATTGTTGTATCTCTCTTCTATGGACCAGTAATTAGCATGTACGTGCAACCTTCAGCTACTATCTCCCAGGACAAGAACAAATTCATGTCCCTGTTCTACAGCTTGGTGACTCCAATGCTTAACCCTTTTATTTATACTTTGAGGAACAAGGACATGAAAGGGGCAATGATGACGCTTATTGTCTCATTGTACCATCAAAGAAGAGAATAAAAATAGCCATTTTTATAATTTATATTCTCCATATAGGACTTAGAAGAGCCCCTGTTTGAAAATTACCTCTTGATTTTACCTCCTCAAAACTGTTTGCATCCTTTAACTCTTATCTTAGCTACATACATGGGATTTTTTGAATATGATTTATTGAATATTGTTTCAGAGTGTGAATCCTGATTCTCAATTTGTCTGCAGTTTGCATGAGAGTGAGAACTATGTCATTAAGTTCCTCTATATCCATCTGAAGATTCTACTACAGGAGTCTAAAAAATGGGCAATAAAAATGCTTATTGACTAACTTCTACACAGTTAGACCAAAAGAAATCAAATCCTATCATTTTATGTGTTATATTGAAAAAATAATACAGGTAATGTAGACAACAGTTTACCTTTTTGTTATTATAGGTACGATTTAAAAGTCAATCTTTCATTTGCTAATTAACTCTTTTTATGAATTAACCAGCAAGATCAAATGAGTTAATACCTAATAACCTATGATCAACCCTCTCCACTACATATTCACCATCCCAACTTTTATTAATAAGATAATTCAAAAATAATATCTGATTCTTCCCTACAGGTCTCAATAGGATTTCCACTACTGAGGTCTTTGACTGAAGTAACTATTTCTATGTTCCTAAAGGGAAAATTTGAGAATTCAAATCCTGAGAAACTTCTATGTGGCATCCTACTATGGAAAGCCATTTAGCCTTCATTGAGGAGATAATTTAACTAGCATGACAAAATCAAGTATATTTGGTAGGTAGTCAAAGCATGAAATAGTTCAATCATCTACGAATCAGAGCACCAGGTGATAAACAGAAGGAAAATAGGGAAAGTGGAAGGTAACAATGGGGAAAATATAAAATAAGTTAACTATTGTATCACCGATTTTGAGA